ATATATCTTATTAACCAAGCGCGAGGGCCGTACTGGGAGAATATCGGCCCGAGGTCTTGACAGTACGGACCGAGCGCAGCGAGGTCCGTACAAAAAAGACCGAGGGCCGATATTCTTCCAGTACGGTCCCGAGCAAGCTTGGTTAATAAGAGATTTATTATACGACTGAAGTTCAAAGGGACACAAGTGCGGTATCATTCGGGACCATTCGGGATAGTGCCCGGTCCAATACTGAGAGAATATTGACCGGCAATAATACATTTTGATTGGTTGACTTTAGTTATTGGCCCTCTGACTGCCCGAGTCGTGTAATAAAACAACTTCAAACTTAAAAGAATTTATGAGAAAATGACTGATTAGATTCACCCAAAATAACCATAAGTATAAACTTACATTACTAAGGAATAAAGCCTCTTTTTATGAGGCCGATTTGTTCAAAGCTTACTGAAAAAATTAAACGGCGTGCTTTTTGATTTGTCGGACACGTGCGGAAGTAAATATAGCAGTCAGCCACACCTACCTCGAACTGCATTCAGTGAAATTACAAACAAACAAACACTTTCACAAAGCAATGCACCATTAAACTCACAGATAATATATTAAACAGCAAAGTTTGCAAACTCACGACAAATTAGTCAATACTAGCCCACTAAGAGCTTGTAATGGCCTTGTCTTTGTAAGCTACTATTGTTGTCCTCACGACAGACTGACTAACCGAAGCTTCTAATGTCGCTATGTGATGTCCTACTTGCAGTGGTGGTTTCAAGGCTCCCTCCTGTCTTACACCGATATCCTTCTTATGTCTTATATAAAATCACCTTCACTTTTAATATCACTGAATTAGTTTGTCATAACGTTGTATTTTTGAAGACAATCTGTTGCTTGACAGTGTTTGGTCTGCTAGGTAAATACGCCTATCAAGTTAAGAAAAAACTTCTCCTGAACCAAAGAAAGCGCACATCTTGAATTCAATGCACTTCCAGTATATGGAAATCCTGGGACACGTACACCACTTGCATCCGCATCTAATCCGGATCCAAGGAAAGCAAATCCTGACGGGAAACCAACAGGATAACAAGTGTTTAAATACAAAGTAGACTTGGCGGGCGTGGGATCGACATTTTCGGGGTGAGCAACTGGACATCTGGTGGTGGACTCTCCATACAAAAGGGCTGTCACACTTGCATGGATTTCCAACAGGCTGGCACCACCAAGGACCACCGCCACGATGAATAATACATCTGAAGAATGAAAAGAAACCGCATATTGCTTTGCCATTTATATTTCAGTTAGTAGAAAGAAAGGCTAAAACTTAACACGGTACTTTTAGGAGAACTACAACTTTGAATACTTGTAATTTTGGGATGATTTAAACTTTAATGTGACCCAAGAATTCAGATGGTTTTGACACTAGTGTCTGTTTTCTTTATCGACCTTTAAATTTTCATAGCGTCCACACTTTTAAAAGTGAGCAAGTTTCACAGTTCTTTTCCACTGCATGGTTGAGGAATTTTCGGATTACGTCTCAGATCTTACACGTATAACTGTTGTTTATTAACTGCCTCAGGCTCAGCGAATAATTATTGTTAAACAGTCCTCTCAACTTCGTCACCGGGATTATTCAAAAATACTCCCTTAAACTTCAGCGAATAATTTCTTAAATATCATTGTCTCTATATCTGCTAGGTTTAGATTTGTAGCTGTATTTTCAAAATTGATCGAAACATTGTTGTACTAGCTATTTAAAGCCAAAGCTCGCAAAATTGTGTCTATTGGTGTGTCATGAAACACATAGGAAACTGTGTTTTCAAGGAAGCAACAAACTTTTGTGAGACGTCTTGTCACCTGTCGTGCTCCATACATGCTGCGTCTAATCCGTCTTTTGTCGGGAGGCACCTACGACAGGCGCTGTTCACGTAGTTTGTAGTGCGCCAGCAATCATTATTGCAAGATGGCTTTGGGTACCTAGTGTAACCACCCTGGTAGCCCCCACACCAGTTTCCGTACCACCAGTCCAAACTCCCTCCGCGCCATCCAATTCCCCGGCGGCGGCGTCTTGAGATCATTGATAGTTGATTGGCCAAACTTTCATTGCCAAACGAAGTCGTTTGGTTCAACAGCTGAGTCAAGGTGGAAGAGGTTTCCTGAATATTTTTCTCTAACTCAGGATCTGAGGATCCGGTTGATTCTTGATCTAAGTATAACAGACACGAATTTACTTCTGCTCACAGATAGGTTCATTCCCCATTTCAAAAACGAGTCGGGGAGTGAGTCGAGTTTGCCGCGCAAGTCTGTCTGGGATCGTTACTCGGGACACAAATCTTTGTTTACCTTTGATTTGTCCCAAGTAACGATCCCAGACAAACTTGCGCGGCGAACTCGACCCACTCCCCCACTCGTTTTTGAAATGAGGAATTAGCTGTCAGTACCAAATTTAACGTAGTTTCTTTCTTTCTATTTTTTCCATCCTGTTACCCTTATTTAAGGTGTGTTAGATGTCCTTATATCTCTTAAATACGTAGTCAAAGTGGTTATCGCAGTGACAGTATAAACTGAGCGCCGGTTAGTTTAATGTTTTATCATCCACGTTTGAAACACACACGATTGTGTGAGGGCGCTTAAAAACAACTACAAAAACATATACGCAAATATTTAGTGCTTTATCTGCCTTACATGTGCCTTACATGTGCCTTACATGTGCCTTACATCTGCCTTACATCTGCCTTACATCTACCTTACATCTGCCAGTAATATACCCTTTTGACGTTGGTTGAATTGTCAGAGAATAAAAAAGGATCAAAAAGTTATCAGAAACTTGAAATTCTT